TATAGTATTGGTATTTTTTATAGTGGTTTGATAGTGCTTGGATAAATTAATGTTAGTTTGTTTATAAGTATGTTGTTCAATATCGTATTGTAAAATTAAATATATATTGATCAAGTATTTTTCGACACTAGCGTAGTTTGATAGTTCTTGAATAAATTGATATTAGTTTGTTTCTAAATATATTGTTCAATATCTTTAAATATCATAGTGTAAAATTAAATGGGTATTAATCGAGTATTTTTTAACACTAAGGTAGTTTGATAGTCCTTGGATAAATTAATATTAGTCTGTTTCTAAATATACTGTTCAGTATCCTTCAATATCATATTGCAAAATTAAATGGGTATTGATCAAGTATTTTCCGACAACAGGGTAGTTTGATAGCTCTTGGATAAATTAACGTTAATTTGTTTATAAATAACTTGTTTCCCTGAAATTGGGAGAAGGGGATGTAATGTGAGTATTAGAGTGTAGGGAACATGGAATTATTGATGTTTAGTAGTTTAGTGGAATAGTATGGTTTCTATTAATATTAAATAGGTTCACAATGACACGAACACATTGTGTCATTAATTAAAGCCACAAGTTATTTCAATAGATAGAATATTGTATACGTATCACGATGCTGCTGCTCATGTTACTTACAATTAGTCATATTTCCTATATGAATTTAACTGTACGAATAATTTTCTATACGAATAAATTTATATCAATCAAATGGACGAACAAACAATCAATGCCTACTACAAAGTTCAAATTCTTAAATACTATATACTATTATAATTCACATGGTAAATATTCTTTAGATAAACATTATAAATTATTTATCAATCCACAAGGTAGTCACTACGAATTTTTAACTCTTAACTTCACTTAACGTCACTTACTTACAGGGTCCAATACTTTTAAGCGGCGCACGCCTCAAATATAAACATACAATAAACAAAATTTCAATTGCTATAATTTTAATGTTACCCTGTGGATCACAGTACCAATGGATTGCTGAAATTCTCCTGATTAAAATGAGCCCAAACACGACATAAATCGGGAAACAAATAAATTTCATAGAAACGAACCTTTAATTTCGAAAATTACATTAAATTCGTCAAACTAGTCCGATTCCCATCGTGTTTGGGCTCATTTTAATCAGCAGGATCTCAGAAATCCATTGACACTACGTTTTAGAAGATAAATCGACTGCAGTTGAAATTTTTCATTCACAAATATCAATGCACCGCATTAAATCAGCATTCCTCAGAGAACGCCTTAAGTTCTTTTGAAGTATCAGTACTCAGTTTCTAAAAAAAACTCATAAACTCAAAATTCCCTGTCACAGATCTGCAACAAAAATAATTTACAGATTTTTGTTCTTTTTTTTTAAATTGCAAAAAATCATCCCCTGACCTCTGGAGTGCCCTTGCCCTCAACGCGTTAGAGGTTAACACGCGAGCCAACGGAAACGCGTTTATTTAAATTTCCCGCGTGCCAACTTCACGAGCTAACGAGCACGACGCGCGCCTGACGATCGCGCTCTACGGAAATCCGTATCTCAGGCATTAAAAGGATTGTCCCCCCGAACAATTGAAACAAACGCCGGGATTTCTTTCCGTCTTAAAATGTTTATGTTCACGCTCCGCGGAGGAGGATACAAAAGAATGCTTTCAGCCTGCGCAGGTCGAGATGCAAACCTTTCTTCATAGCCCGTAGTGACCCACGAAGGGGAGGAACACAAAGCTTCGGGATTATGCCGCGTGTATCCCGCCGCCATGCCTCCCCCCGTCCACTATTTCCTGTGTCCGTGCTCATCCTATCTGTCTCCATCTCTTCCTCTCGGCTATTCCCCGCCGTTCGGATACCGGCGCGAGAGAGGATCGCGTGTTTGTACCCATGGGCAGTATGCATATGCGTCAGACGCATGGGGTGACGTATTGCGCTGCGCTGGAATCGTTAAGAGTGCCGAGCGTGGAACTGGGTCAGCTGCCACCCATAATAATCGACTCGCACAGGGTGCCAGTCCCTCACAGGCCAATGCTGTTCCGTCGATTTTTTTAATATTTTCTGATTTTTCGGGGTTAATGGGGTTTTTTGGTTGCTCGAGGGTTTGGGCAGTTCTTCGAATTTTATAGGTTAGTAAGCACTTTTTTATATATTCTGAACAGGTTGTGTAATAGTTGTGTGTTAAAAAATATTAATTTTCTGGCTTTCTGTTTGTTGGCCTTCACTTCATTGTCTTCTGAGCAACATAACACCGTATACATTAATAAACACATACAAATAATACTCTAACCTATAAAAAAACTTGTGACTAACCAAAATGGTGGCCACATAAAAAAAAATTCGTTTCATCCCAAAAATTTTACAATTATCATTTAGCATAGGAAACTTATAGTTGCTGACATAAATTTACCACTATAAATAAATATTTACATTAAGTACACATCTCACCATTCCAAAAGTTTAAAAACTTAAGTTCCAAATGCTCGGTATTTTTCCAGACAGTGCCTTAAAAAAAGCTTTTGCTACGTAAACATGAAACAACACTGATCATTAAGTCGACAAATGCTAGCAGAAGACAACGTAACCTAACGCTCATCGATTAACAATAAAACAGAACTTCCAGACATAAATGTTTCCTCGCGGAAGTAAAAAAGGGCGAGAACGTAGAGGATACGATAAAACGAAACAGCTGATGAAGGATACAGGAGTAAAAGCGCGCGTTAAAGCTCGGAGAAAGTGGTGCAGCTATAAAGGGGGAAAGTGGGGGCGTTTATGAGGCCTGGTTGGCGAAGGTTATGCAACAGGAGCAGCGTGGCCCAAGCGGGAATTTAGGGGAGACATTAGGAACAGGAAGTGTCCTGGACAAAATCAAAAGATTCTAGTTCAAATTAATTAATAATGTACTAAACTCGTGTCAAAAAGTGAGAAACACAAAAGGAAGATGAAATAGCTTTGAAAAAATGTAAACATAATTTTGATATAACGTAAATTTGTTAAATGCAGTTTTGAGAATAACGAAACTCATTGGGAAAGTATGTAGAACGTGAATTTGATGCCAGGGGAATTTTGCAGCAACTATGTTACCCCACCGAAAATGATTGCGTCTACAGTATAAAAATAAAATCCTGCGGAGTTTTCAGATTCTCCAGGCATCTCATTTATATGGAGCGTCAGCTAGTTCCGGTAACTTTAATTATTTGTAAACTGCTTTTTACACTGGAGAATGTTAAAAAAGATTGGGTAGTATCAAGGGACCACGCTACGTATTTTGTGGCCAGTGTACCGTATGGTAGTGTCGTCCTAGTTCATTCGTTTACCCAGATGAATAAATAACCTCGCTGCTGTTAAAAATCTCTAAAAAAAAAAATGAGAATTATTTGAGGGTTTTGAAAATTTTAGATTTTATAAGTTTGCTTGATAGTAGCGAGTGCTGGGGGTAAACTGGGAGCCAAAGCTATCACGATTCCTACTAATTTACCAATAAATATTTTCAGCTATTTTCCAACACCTAACCTCCAAGATCTAAATGAAAGAACATCAGTTTCTCTAGTGTGGCGGTAGTTCCTGCCCTGTGCCACTAGATGGCCAGGGCACCTGGGCTTTCTCGCTGCTAGCCAGTCCTGCCTTAATTTGTATTAGGTTCTCCCAATAGTACCTCCTCCAGGGTCCATGTGGTGATGATGGGAAGTGGCGGTCCCAACATGCCCAAGTTAGGGTCTAACCAACCCTTGGTGCAGACGAGACACCTTGATCTGGCAGGCATTACTTATCCATGTGGGTAAGAAGCCGAACAGCTCCCACTAAACCTGTGATGATTGGTCCTATGGGGGCCGGGTGCCAGGGGCAATGCAATGCAACCGGACATTGGCGTTAACTTCGTAGTGGCAATGGTTGAAAGCCCACATGCTGAGCTGGACTCCTTTAGAGGGCCTCAGCGCATGAGCAGCGTCCTAGCTGCTCCTGGGCCAGACAGGAAATCTGGTAGAGTCGTGGAAATTGTGCCTGGCGCTACCAACAGTCTACCTCCCAGGGACTCGTCATCCCAGTAGGCCACGTTGGCAAGGCTTTGGCCTAGGCTGATGGGGCCTAAACTCAATCCCTCGCCCGGGGGGCCGTGTGGTGAGGCCCTATGGGTATACACCGGACGTAAACCTCCAGACTTTCACTTGTCCCATGGCAGGACCCATGGCAGTCCCTACCAGCCCCACAGAGTTCACTAGCAGACGCCATCAGAATATCCCTCTCTCTCTCCCACATTTTTCTTACTCCATGCTTCACAAATCCCACGAGACCTCACACCCGTTAGCACCGTAGTTACTCGCTAAAAAGGTGTCGAGCGTCGCGTTTTATTCGCCGCGTCCTTCGCACGCACGTACGGAGCATAACGCGCTGTAATTGCGTATGGAGTAGACACACGGCGTGACGTATCGCCGGAGGGTGTATTGTCACGATGTTACGGTGTATCGCCGCCGGGGCGGCCTACAATAATCATGTCATAACGCAATCCACGCGTGCTTTCCGCGTGTGCAGCCGAGGCTTGTAATTATCGCGGCGCACGAGGACTCGTTATAGCCTTTAACGTGGCGTGCATCGGCTTCCAATGCACATACGCGCCGAGTGCTGGTACAATTGCATCAACGACCTTGCATCCTTGGCCCGGCGACGTGTCACCGGCAGCAGGCAGCGGCTTTTGCTCCCATGCTCGCCCGTTATGCGGGCCATTCTAAATTTCCGTAGCATTCACCCGGAACCTGCAGCGAAATTTCAATGCCGTCACTGCGGTATCTATCATTGTTAATACAGTCTTCGTTAATTGGCAAATTACGCGTGCCCGCGATTCACCGTTTAATCGGCCGTGTAAATACGCGCGCAGCCGCCGGCGTTTCTGGGTGAAAGGGAAAGTAACGGAATCTGGGAATCTTTTTTCTGAAGAAATTGTTGGCTCTGTGTATGTTTGACAAAATTGAGGTTTTTTTAGGTTCTGACAGGTCAATCGCTGGTGCCTTCACCTTAAATGGAATTTTCTTGGGTTCTAGATGAGTTTACAACAAGCTTCTAATTTTTTAATTTCTAATTAGACTATAATTAACGAGAAACATATTTAATTTCACTGACCACTGCAATTCAAAAAAACACTTGAATCTCAAGGATATACTCAAATTACAACCCTTGGAATACTATCCTTCATCCCTCCTCACATTTCTCCACAAAACACAAGCCAACTCACATTCTCACATAATCTCAATCTTCCAGACGAGCCCACAACGTTTTTTTCAAGGAAATGTTGGTTCTGTGTTGTATGTTTGGACAAATTCAGGTTTTTTTACGTTTTGTAGGGTTAATCGCTGATGACATTACCTTAAATGGAATTTTCTTGTTTTTACTGAAACTGGAACTACCAGAATCATTTCTGATTTTTTCTTCATTTTCAGTATTTATTTATTTTATTATTATTTTCTTTATTTTTTATAATTATTTTCTTTATTTTCAGTTATTGAAGGCTTAAGAATGCTTAGAGATATTTAAAATTGTTGATTTGTTGATATACGAATTGAAAAATAATTCGATATCTTAATTATGGGACTGCTATAGTTTCTATAGAAAATGTTTGAAAATCAATTCAAGGGTAGTTCTAGTGTTAATGTTGTGAAATACCAGGTGGGTCGAAATGACGCATTTCTAATTTTTTTCAGAGTTATTGAAAGCATACGAATGTTTGATCGAGAGATAATTGAAATAGTTGATTAACTAATATACGAATTAAAATATAATTAAATTGATATCTTAATCATAGGACTGCTATGATTTCTATAAAAAATGTTTGAAAATTGAAAGCATACGAATGTTTGATCGAGAAATAATTAAAATTATTAATTTATTAATGTACAAATTAAAATATAATTCAATTGATATCTTAATCATAGGACTGCTATGGTTTCTATAAAAAATGTTTGAAAATCAATTCAAGGATAACTCTTACGTTAATAATATTTCTAATTTTTTTTTTAAATTAGAACAATATGTTTCTTGAGTTTCGAAGAGTGCCCTAGTTTTGTATCCGTGCAAGGGATTTAATTGATAATTTTAGCAACGTTTTCGTAATTGAAATATTTTTAAAATAAGAATTCTGAAGTGAATCAATTTAATTTGATTGTAATTTTAATGTTAACAGATACAATGCAATTCTTACGTTTAGCAGTCGGCCCCATGAGATTTCGCAATTTCCTCGAACTTTCTGCCATGCACTTCGCATGCAACTGAATTTCCTGAAGCGTGGCCCCCGATTTTCTTTTTATAATATTGTGACCCATACATGGGTTGTAATATAAAACGTGCCGAGTAACCGTGTCACGTATGTTCAACGTATTTCTAGAAGAAAAATGACCCGTCGGTTCCCTTTGACTACTGTTTCCAATGTGATTCGTAAATTAGCTTCCTGAACGCCATTAGTGACGTATTTCGATTTGGAAAAACACGGACAGCTTATGGTTCGATGGTAAACAAATAGATTAGAAATTTGAAGGGCTGGGAATTATTAAAATTGTGAAATATATAAGGGGAACTTGCTACATGGAATTAGTCGAAGAGCTTTGGAACTTTTCCAAGGAATTTTATAATCTTAATACAGTTGCTGAAATAAGAAAAATGAATCGAACAAAAGTTTATTTCCTTGGATAATTATTTCAATGCATTGATATTGATGCTGAATTAAGATTGCAGATAAATAAATATTTACTGTAATTATATTGCACTGTGAGGCTCGCTTAAATTCTATAGATGTCTGCTCATTTAATTTTACAGCGAAAGCCCTACTCTTCTCCTACAAATCGCTATCTTAATGTCGGTGTAACTTAATTCTAGAAAACAGGGACAAAAAGATGAATACAATGGACCGAAAGAAAGATGCAGTGATGTTTTTTTTAATTCCACGAAATCTGCTCGGCTAAATTTCACAGCACAAGCCACTCTTCCTCCACAAGTCACTATCTGAAGGCCAGTGCAACTTGATCCTAGCAGACAGGGACGGAAAATGAATACAATGGGTGGGAACGGTATAACGCAGTCTGTCGAGCGTCAAGGGTCGAGGTGCGAGACTTCAAAAAGACGCCGAACGCGGCAAATATAAACCTGCAATGAGGAAAATTTCAATTGCAGTTATCTTAAACTTACCTTCTCGAATATAGTGCCAGTGAATTTCTGAGAATGTGCTGATTAAAATGAGTCCAAACACGATGGGAATCGGACTTGGTTTCGAATTTGATATAATTTTCGAAATTAAAGGCTGGTTTCCATGAAATTGGTAAAACTGGACCGATTTGTGTCGTGTTTGGGCTCATTTTAATCAGAAGAATCTCGACATTCCGTTGCCACTATGATTGACAAGGTAAGGTCAAAATTATTGCAATCGATATTTTCTTCATTTTCATTGTATTCGTTTTCTGCCTCTGTTACTAGGTACACGTTGCACTGAGCTCGAGGCAGTGATTACTGGGAGAATACTAGAGCTGGTGCAGTGGAATGAAGTCGAGAATATTTGTATAGAATTTAAACAAGCCTCATTATACTGTCCGTTGCATGAAACCTGGCACTTTCGTCTGATTGGTCAGATTCTCAGACGCCAACCAATTGGAATCCTCAGATCGAATGTCTCCTATGACATCACAAGTGCCATCTTCCCTGCAACTAACATTATTGTCCTTTTTCCTATTATCTAACCACTAAGCCTACAATTTAACTTCACACATCAAAAATTCCTCTCATTGAACGCTCCCTATCCCCCGATCGAGGATCCCACGAAACAAACTATCATTCTCCCGAAAATCCTCGAGGACTAAACGGTTGAAATGAAAAGCCAAGCGTTCCCGCGTCTGGTAATCCCGGCCTTAAGCGTAATCGCCGCGGGAGCGATTAATTAACGTCGCCGCGCCGACGAAAGGGCGGAACTTTTCTCGCAGGACTCGGCCGGGGCGGGCGCAGGTGCGGCAGCCGAAGTCATCCTAGCGTCCCCGCGTAAGAATCGTGGCCCGCCGGAACAAAAGGAAAGTTTCGCATGCCCGGCACGTATCTATTGTCTCGCTGGGGGATGTCATCTGTCTTTGCAACAGACATAGACGAATGAATCAAGAGGAAACATGGAGTCGGAATTATCGAGTCGGCCGGCCGACTTCCGGGGATCCTGCAAAGCGGAAACTGTTCCGCCGAAGTCCGACGGCTTTTTACGTACCGCGGTGGAACGACCGTTTAATCGGCGCGCTAACAAAGACGCAATCCGTCCCTGGCTCCCTCCGTCGATATCGAAAACTTGTGTTTCACGAAATGACTCCGGACAAAGGGCGAAGCTTCCAGGTGATTGCTGCATCCTGTTGTTCTAACGGGGACCTAGGCAGTTTCTTGGATTTTAGCATGGAACCTCGATTATCCGAACCTTGATTATTTGGACTGATGAAACACTTCTCATTTTTGTTTTGTTTTATTTGTTGAAATATTTTCCAATGAAAATTAATATTATTATATCCCCATTAACCTAGGCAGGGGGTTTCTTGGATTTCAATATGGAACCTCTATTATCCGAACTTTGATTATTTGGACTGATGGAATACTCGTTTTTGTTTTGTTTAATTAGTTAAGGTATTTGTGAATGACAATTCAAACAATTCTTATATCCCCATTAACCTGGGGAGGTGGTTCCTTGGATTTTCGTATGGAACCTCGATTATCCGAACCGATGGAATATTCGTTTTTGTTTTGCTTGATTAGTTGAAGTATTTATTTGATTAGTCGAAAGTGAGAGGGTGAAATTAACAGTAGAACTACCAGTTAAATTGACTTTTTGAAATTCTTCTATAGAAACTTCAATAGTGCATCTACTGATACCTTCAGTGATTTACAATTCAGTTTTGCACATTGCAATTATAAAATTAATTTAACAAAAGTCAATTTTCTTCATTGTCCACAAATTAAAGCAAAAAACTATTTTATTATTATCAATGTATTCTTC